GATGTTGTAGACCAAATTTGACCGACTTCGGTTGAATTTCTTGAGCATTTCTTTGCTCCATTTAACACGAGCCTGTTTTTGAGCTTCGGTCAAATTGTGTGGGATCCAATGACTGCAAAGTTTCCGTACGCTCAAGTGATCATGCAAAATCGTATGTATTGCTTTCATATCAATGCCTAAGGATGCCTGAATTTCACGATATGTTATATGCCGGTCTCGCTCAATCATTTCACGCACAGCATCAACATTAGTAGCAACAACAGACGTGGATGGAAGACCTTCATGGAATTCATCACTAAGAAAGGTACATCCACGCTGGAATTCGACAAACCAATTATAAACAGTCCTATTGGATGGTGCTTCATTCCCAAAAGCCAAATGAAGTCGATCGATGCATTGTTTCGGAGTTAGATTACATTTGTAATCGTAAAAAATCATTGCCCGAAAATTTTCACGCAAAATTTCCATTTTTTCTTACAAAATAACTTCTTCTAAAATACTATGCAAACAAAACTAGTTGGCTTGGGTACAAACTGTCAATTGAATTATTGGTTAAAAAAGTCTAATTTTACGGATATGATAGTAGAACGTTGGCGCCACTGGAAGTAATAGATTGCAGAAACTTTTTCAGTAGCCTACGTATTTATTATTTTTAATATCTTGTAATATTTTTATGTTATGTATATTGCATGTAATTATTTTCTATATAAACATGATTATTAAAGTGTTTCAACATTATTGTATACGTTATTGTCTAAATTATTTTCTCTGCATTAGTGAAATATTTCATCATTATTATATATGTCTAAAACAACCTAACTTCTTGCGCAGACTCAGCTCATCCCTTGCTTAAAAAGTTTGATAAGATCAGATAGAAAAAAATTATCTAATCGAATCGTATTTTTGGTTCGTAAATTTCAAATTACTTGTCTGAAATATCTGATAGATTTTCTATTTTTCTCTATCGTTTTTGTCATATAGCTTATATATTGTTTTTAATCAATTTCTATCTAATGTTTTATCAAAATCAATAATATCCTATCGTGTTTTTATTCGTAAATTTCAGGTTATTTATCTAATATATTTAATAGATTTTTTATATTTCTATATTATTTTTGTAGCATGGTTTAAACATCGTTTTGAATCAATTTCTGGTCATGTTTTATCATAATTAATAGTATTGTATCGTAAATTTTATATTATTTAAAAAAAAAATTTTTTTATAATTATTAAAATACAATTCTTATTTTTTTATTATTCTTTTGTAGAATAAATTTATATTTTTACACGCAATTTATTAATTACAATTATATGTATCGGAAATTTACAATTTTTGAAAACGCATATCGGAATCGACGGAATTCGAACTTAAGACCTACGAATGATAGTCTAACACTCTAACGCTGAGCTATAATCGCACGCTTGTCTAGATATTTTAGCATGTTGTAGAGACATTGACAGTTATAGAGACATTTCTGGATTAAGTTACATAGGTTCTTATAAACATTGCATCATATTTATTATGTTATCTTAAGTATCCTCTTTAATCTTAAATTTTAGATTACTCTTGCCCGATATAGATTTTCTATATTTCTCTATCATCTTTATCATATAGCTTCATTATCGTTTTTAAATAATTTCTATCTGGTTACGTTGTATGAAAATTAATAATTAATAATATCCTATGTTTTTGAATCATAAATTTCAGATTACTTATCTAAAATGTTTAGTCGATTTTCCATATTTCTTTATCATTTTTGTCATCTCAGGTATCATTTTCAATAAATTTCTATCAAAATTAATAACATTCTTTTGTATTTTTAATTCGTAAATTATACAATCTAAAATTTAATTTATGATTAAAGACATGAAAGAATATTACTAATGTTTAAATGAATTTTACGTCGTGAGATTCTAAAACTAAAAACTAAAGGAACAATTGAGGATGAGTGAGGACTGGGTTAACAAGAAACAAGACACCCCGATTCGCGGCTATAACACGCACTTGCCTAGGCATAAAAACTCCCGCGGAATGGGAGAAAAGCCGGGGCAAGCGGATCTTTATTGATTAACTGGCAGAGGGGTACAAATAAACGATCCCTAACGGTGAGCGAAGAGAGATACCACGG